GTACACTACAAAGTGAGGAACTTACAGCGACTTACAAGCCAATTCTATCAGGCATTTTAAAGTCACTTGGGACGACAATTAGATAGACAGTGAGAGATAGACTCACAGGCAGCTTGGTGAGTGCAGGGCTGGTAGCTTGTCGGCCAAATGCATCTTCTTGGAACTGGAGAAGCTGCAAGGTGACTGCAGCCAGGACCTGGCAAGATGGGGCATCCGCCAGAACATACTAACAAACAGAGAGGGTTTGAAATTAGATAGGAGTAGAATTTTTATTTATCGTGCCACTCAATACTCTATTATATACACAAGCTTAGGGCTATATTTACATATGATACGACTGCGCTAGATTTGCACTTCACGTTTATATATTTTTCCTTTTGTGCAGGGTCCGCTGACTTAATTTCTCTAGATCTAGACAGCCAGTGTGAACACATAACCGTATGTTTACGCTGTAACCCACTGGGCTTGCTAACAGGGAGGGGGAGCGGCTAGCATCTTGCTTAGCTTCCTGGTCGGCTAACTACCTTTTTGTAGTGCTTCCCGATCCACTGTCTCACCACTTCCAGCTGGGCTAAAGTATCCGGACTCTCCCAAAACCTAGCGGACGGGCTGCTGTCTTTTTTTCGGTGTGCAAATGCACCGGGGGTGGCTTGGCTTGTCCCGGGAATCCCGAGGTTTGTTCCTCCGGACATTGTGATCGTAATAAAACGTAATTATTTTTCAAACGTGAGAACAAAACTGGCTAGCGCCCTCGCTAGCGTTTGCGTTCTCGCGAGGGAACACGAGAACGCAAACGCAATTTAACGTAAGGCTTTTCAAATTAATTAAAATTTAACTGTCATTATTCTCTACAGTGTTGTGGCTTTATTTGCGCGTGTTCTTTACTGATTTTTTATATAGAGGAAAATTAGATATTATCGTGTTTACAGAGGAATACAAACGTTTGTTACTAGCAGGGAACTTTATTTTGAAGTACAAGGAAGGAACTGCGCAAGACAGAAAAACACTCGAGCAAGTAAAGAGAAGAAAGTGTCATTGGTTAGTACAACTCGTAAACATTTACTGCTCTACTAAATACGGCTGATTCTGGATGTCATTTGTCGTCAGTTACTCAGAGTTTTATGTTGCAATAACTTCCGACGAGTCATAATTTTCCAGCCGACATTCTCTGTGTCTGTCTTCACATTGGAGCGAACTGTGACTCCTGTCATTTTCTGGCAGTTACCTTCCGTTTATTGCATGATTGCACAGAAACTGGCTTTCGTGCATTTTAACCATCGTGAGTACCATTATCTTATACATAATCTCACTCCAGGAACTCGTCCACGCCCTGAGATGTAATGGGTGTCCATGGTCTGACGACCTTTGTGGAGGGGAACAGACACTTCCTACAAGATGTGAAGTTTAGGGACAGTCGGCTCGTTATCGATGGCTGCAGTCTTTATTTCCGCCTGTACTTTAGCCACGGATTGGATCAGCTGCACGGAGGGGACTACGATGCCTTTGCTTCTCTGCTCACCCAGTTCCTCACTGCACTGGCAACCTGTAACATCCAGCCATATGTGGTTCTGGATGGAGGTAAAGATGCTTTATACAAGGCCGTCAAGTTAGGATGTTTCAAGTATGTACTTTTCTAGACATTTTAAAAAAGGGGACAGCTTACATTATTTCTATTTATTTATTTATTTTGTAAGTTCTCTGTATTTGGGTACAACATCATCTAATATCTTCAATTTAAGTACTCACCTCATTTAGTAACCATTCCCCTTAATTTCAATAGGACATCTTAACTTCAGTCATCTTTATATTGCTTTTCATTGTAATAATCGATAGGTCTGTAGGTTATTAAATCATTATATCATTGAACTATATTAGATTTTTTTATCCTTTACCTTTTCATGAATGCTTTTGTTGCTTATATCTTTAATCTGCACAAACCTAAAGCAAAAACCACTTTTCACATTAAATATTGCTATAACACCTGCAAACATCTGTTTTCCTTTTTTATCTTTATAATTATTATTAGGGATGGACCCCAGTAACAAGAAGTTTGATACTCTACGCCAGCGCCTGCAGTCCAAGATAAAAGAGGCAGACAACCTCTCTCACGGCCGCAATGGCTCTGTTCTCCCCATTCTTACAAGAGACGTCTTCATTCAGGTCCTCATCCAGAGTGGAGTCCCACTCATCCAGTGTCCAGCTGAGGCTGACTGGGAGATTGCGTGCTTGGCACAAGAGTGGAAATGCCCAGTGCTGACAAATGACAGTGACTTCTATATCTTTGACCTTCCAGGTTTGGGTAGTCTCTGACACTTTAACACAGATTCTAAATAGCCGTTTGGTGGTAACAGTATTTTGCAGTATGTATTTTCTCATGTGGTATCTATCTCAATTGTTTTCCGATCTTAGGAGGTTATCTGCCATTCCGTTTTTTCCAGTGGACCAACCTTAACGGTAAAGCCTCGCAACGCTACATCTTAGCTCGCTGCTACACCACTGCTGGCCTGTGTCGCTTGTTCGGGGGCATGAACCCCGAGTTGCTCCCTTTATGTGCTGTTCTGACTGGAAATGACTACGGAACTCCAAAAGATACTGAAACCCTTCTTTCTCTGTTAGATGCAAGTCTGTTAAGGAGAGGTGGCGGCAGGGGTAAAGGTAGATCACCCCCTTCTCGTATTGAAGGCCTCCTTCTTTGGCTGTCCTCTTTTAAAACTGTGGCTGAGGCCTTAGAAGAAGTGAGCAGCCTAATGGGGGAGGAAGCCTGTAAGGGCAAAAGAGGGCAGAAGGGTGGTCTCGCATCCAGGCTGCTGGCATGTATGCAGGAGTACCATATCAAGGCTCCGAGCTCTGTGGCCCGCTGGTTTTCTGGAGGTAAGGCATTTCAGGGAGGGCAGACCTCTGGGCCGGCACAGCTGCCGGAGTGCTTGTCGACAGCAGCACTTCAGGGTCGGCTTCCTCCCTTGGTGCTTGATGCTTTGGTGATGCGCAGGGTCCTTCTCATCCCGCAGGTGGAGAACAGTAAACTAGCTAGCAGCCACTGTAGTTCTAGAGCCATTCGGCAGGCTGTATACGGGATATTACTGCACAGATCTCAAGGTAATGTAACTGAAGGAAGAGTTGGAGGTACACAGCCAATGAAGGGGCCAGGAGGTGAAATACAAGATATGAGGATGCAAGAAAACAGACAGGGAATGAGAGGTGGGCGAGGAGGAAGGGGGTGTGGAGGTAGGGGTCAGAGCATAAATGCAGCATTTAGCAAGGAACAAGCAGCTGGGTCATCAACAGTCCAGGCTCAGGGCGCTCCCATTTCTGTGGAAGAGTATGATCGCTTGGACCTGAACTTGAAGAAGATGGAAGTGGAGGCAGTCCCACTCAGAAACCATGTACACCTGGCTGGACTTGGTCAGGTAAACATTTTTCAGAATCAGTATTTGTTTTGCATCTGTCTGGAGTTAGAAGTTTTCCACATGATCTGATTGTATTTTTCAATATTTTTTTCCAGGCTCCTGCAGCAGTCCGACTTGGTGCCCTGTTACAAGTCTTGGGCGTGAACCAGTCAGCCTTAGTTTCCGTTCCTTTCCACCTGCAGTTGCCTGTAGCTGTGACAGGATTCTGGTTTCGAGAGGCCACACCGACACCCTCACAGCCCCAGGTGCAAGCTTTGGTCGTAGGCATGGTTTATGGAGAGGTCTTCTTGAACACACAGCTTGGAGCTATCCACTATCAACACACTGGTTAGTTGGATTGTATCCCTCCTGGTTTCTTCGACATGGTTAAAAAGACTAATATGCCTTAGTAACATGCCAAACTTTCATTTTTTCTTGTCATTACCTAAAAGCTTGTATTTGCTTTCAAACACTGCAGTTCCGCAGCCAAACTGGGCTCTGGAACATAAAGTGTGTGCAGGGCTAGATCGACAACGTGTGAGACCAGGTGAGAGACGGGGAGTAGATATTGGAATGGCTCACAGTTTCAGCCAATGGCAGGCCTGCCTTTGGAGTGCACTTTGTCTAAATCAGCTACTGCTGCTGCCGCTGCCAGAACCTCATCTCTCATGGTAAGTACTGTATGTCAGGGACATACAGTAAAAGAAAATGGTACTCTGTATGCATTAGAACTAGAGGTGCAACCAACAAACAGGAGCTGGCAAGGAAAAAGAGAATTATCTCTAGATTTACATGTAGAAAGCTTTAATTACATTTGACGTGAGTTTGGGGTTTTTCTGCTAAGCTTACACAAATGGGGTGATAATAATTATATGTGATATCTGTCCACAGTTATACCACGATGGAAAAGAGTATTTTTTTAGAGTACATTTTTGCATCTTTGTTGCCTTGTTCTCACTCCCTCTGTCTCTCAGGTTGTTCAGTGGTACGCTGGTGCACGGCCTCGTCAGGTATCTGAAAGGAGGCCGAGATGCTGAGTCTCTGCTGCCTGGGGGATCTTTGTCTGCGCAGCTCTACTCCTCCCTGCTGAAAGCTGTGAGGAACTGCAGTTCCAAAGCCACTCACTCATCCTCAGAATCAGGGAGGAGGGGGAGAGGCAGAGGGCGGGGAGGTAGAGGAAGAAGAGGGAGAGGTGGAAGAGGAAGAGGAGCTCAGGGAGGGGGGAGAGATGCTAATGAGATAAACAACCGGTTTGCTCTCCTTATGAGCGAGGAAGAGTCTGATGATGACGATGAGGATTATTGATAGGGAGACAGAAAAATTAACAGATGGATAAAAGACACTTGCTCGGGGGCCAAATTAAGGAAGGCCTGTCAGTGGTTTACAACAGTTGCTCAGGGAAAATGACAGCTCTTAATGTTTACCACTGTGTATGTTGCACTAATTTAACTTCCTCTAGTCATAATGTTTAATTGTGCATTGCCATCTCGAGTAATGTCTGTAAAGACATACGTTCATATCAGAACATCAGTTTTTCCACAAATTACACAATTTTAGCATCATTATGCATCATGAGCTTTTATCAAAGTAATCTTACTCTAATGAATGTACTTGTTTCCAGCTTCCCAGTTTTATTTACATATTCGAGCACAACATTTAAACAGTCACAGAGATCCTAGTTTTCGTCAGTAACATGAGCAGAAAGTTGTATGGCAGCTAATGAAAAAGTCTGGAGCATTTTATAAAATCTTACATTTTCTTCATTTCATTGCAGCTGCCTTATGTTTCACTAACTTGGTGCTCTTATATTTTTAATCATATTTGTATTTGAAAAGGAATGGAAACGTGTTTTTAAACCATCACACTATGTGTTTTAATTGCAACTGCTTATAGCTAAGAATACAATGTTAACGCTTTCTCTTTAAAGGCACAACACAAAGCTACTGAACAGTAAGATGCTACACCAGTGTTAAATCAGCACACAGCCAAGAGTTAAATACTTACAGATGCTGTATCTACACTTTGACACAGAATATTTTACAGCCCATAAAAATTCTAATTTTACAGTGTTTTGTATAAGGACCAAATAAAATAAAATAAAATATAAACCCAGCCAGTATTTGACTGGTTTTTCTTTCACAAACTGATTTACACACATTAAATTCAAACAGCAAAAAAGTTACATCGTAACAAGAAAATGACGTGAATATACAAAATGAAATGCTCACACAGCAGTTCAATTGTTAGCACTGTCCCCTCACAGCAAGAAGGTCCTGGGTTTGAATTGACAGGACCTTCCTGTAAGCAGCCAAACTACCGAAGTGATAAAAAGATAAGCAAACAGAGTAAACCACATAAACTAGGAAAAACATTAAAAAGCATAAGAACTTTTTCGATTAATTTGGGAAAACTTCCCGCTGGCCCTTGAAAATTTGCACAAGTCCCTCAAATGCTATTTTCTGAGCACTGAAAAAGAAAGAAAAGTGTTTAAAATTACAGTTAGGTCCATAATTTGTTGAATAAAGACACAATTTATGTACCTTTGTTCCTGCACACCACTACCACCACATAAATCAAATAATCAAGATGTGACTGAGGTTCAAGCCTTCAGGTTTAATTCAGGGGGTTTAACAAAAAGTTTGCATTAACTGTTTTGGTATTGCATTTTTTTTTTTTGCGCAGTCCCCCATTTTTTAGAGGTTCAAAAAGTAATTGGACAATTGGCGATCATCTAGTTTCATCACTAGATGAGCCCTGTTCCATTTCAATTTTATGACATGTGACACAGTCATTATATCTAAAGTTGACTCAAAGTCTCAACATTTGTATTTTATAATTCTTCACTGTTTTGTTTTGGGGGGTTTTTACATAATGAGGCCCAAAGAGATGTTTATATTAGTCATACACCTATCAGAGAGATGGCAGAAACTTTAGGAGTGGCTTTTTAAAAAGAAGGAATGCACCAAAGGGCCAAAAAGACCACAAAAGACAACTAAAGTAAACGATGACAGAATTATTTCTGTGGCTAACAAAAGATCAGAAAATCTAAAGAAAACTATGCTAAAAACATCTAAAAGAGCCTGTACAGGTCTAAATAAATCTTTGGACAGATGAGACCAGGATGAATTTGTACTAGAATGATGGGAAGAGAAAACTATGGAGAAGGAGAGAAACAGGTCATGATATGAACCGTACCACATCATCTGTCAAAGATGATGGAGGTTAATGTTAGTATGGGTGTGTTTGGCTGCAAATGAACCACGGTAACTAGCATTTGTTGCTGCTGTCACACCTGAAAAAGCATCAGTAAAAGCCCTTCATGCAGCCAGTGAGTCCAAAGGGTTTTCATTCAAGTATTAAAAATACAGTACAGGCCTATTTGTGTTTTTGGCAAATTGATATACTTTTATATGGTATAATAATAAGGGGTGGTGATGGTTGGTAGGTAACATGATGGCATCAAAATATCTGATATCCATATATATGTTTAGGGGGCTATGCTGTACCCCTGTGCTGAGTTTGGTTGCTTAACTCCTGATGGTCTCAGAGGAGCGTGCAGTCAAAGAAACAAATGCAGGAATACAAAGATGGTCTCCAGGTTTGACGTTAATTACTTAGGCTGCCATTTTCAAAGGCTCCAATGTATGAAAATGTAAACCCCTCTGAATTATAGCTGCCAGTCTGATCATCTTGATTGTCTAATTCAAAATATACTGGAGTTATGTACAGAGGCACAGTTACAGTTTGTCCAATGAATTACTGGATCCAACTGGATCCATCCATCCATGCAACATCAAACAAAAATGACCTTACATAACCCCACGTATTTCAGCTACGTTTATATGTGAATTAAAACATTCAAAGACCAAAGTTAGAAGCAACAGTTCTCTCATCCAGAACACAGACCCTGTCTGGGCAATAAGATGCAAACAATCACTGAGCAGTAGGTAGAGACAGGTCAACAGTGTGACAGCAGCAGTATTTTCCGTAGAGTTGTTGGCAGGCTTTTTAACAGGCCTTCAGATGAATATCTAAATCCCAAATTTTAAATCCTACTACCTATCCAGAGAATGGATAGATGAAACTAGTGTCCAGCCCAAAGGATTAGGACTGACTGGTTAAAGAACATAACCACTTAACAGCCTAACCCTTACTATGAGCTCCTTTCTGAAAAACAAGCCCACAGAAATCAGTTCACTGGGTGTCAGAACTGTTGACAAGCATCGCAACTCAATATACGAGTACACTTAAACTACCTCTACTGCTATGAGGATGATGAGGCTGAGGAAGATGATGAGGCAGTGGCTGCAGCATGTGGCTGAGAGTCTATGAGGTCCATGTCTTCGTCTTCGTTGACTCCGCAGGTGTCGACCACACAAATCAGGCAGCTTGTGACAGGAAACGCTCGCACCTTGTTGCAAGTCACCCACCTGAGCGTAGAAGAAAATCAGAATATTTCGATTCAGCGTTTAAACAAGTTACTACTTAACTGTATAGATTTACAGCCTGCGTTGCCCAGGTGACTGAATTGAACAATGTTTTGTGAAGAAATGCAACTCAAATGGTTTGACAGCATGTTTATGAGTATTTTTTTACTAGTATGATTATTAGCTAATACGCTATTACACCTATTAGCTATATATACCCAGCTACAGTAACCACCAAAAACAACTAAGGAATTAATGAATAAAATAGCCAGACCTGAAAATTTAATGAAAATGTCAATGAAGAAGGTGGTCATGTGGTGTTCACACACTACTGATAAAGACTTCAGCAGTATCAATCAAATTGTATTACTTGGGTAGTATTCAGTTAATAACCCAACCTGTCAGTATCAGTGTGGTATTCCAGGGCGTGTCCAAGGCGTCCCACTCCTTGGAATCCTGCCAGCACATAGATGATATCACCAACTGCCGCACACTTCACAGTTACACCTCGCCACGGCATAGGTGAAGCGCCACGCCACTCGTTAGTTGCAATGTCATAGTATTCAACCGAGTCCAGTCCACCTAGAAACACACACACAGACAGTTGTGCATACGATTGCATATTAGGGCCACTGAAGGTAGGAACAAAATGACGGGGAGTGCATGGGCAGTATAAAAATCTGGGGGGACGATGAATTACCTATTGCTCCCTGCCCTCCAACAGCATATATCCTGTTGTTTACAACCACTAGTCCGTGGTTCTTCCTGGCCTCTCTCATCCCACATAACTCCCTCCATCTGTGAAAGGCAAAAATTGAGTGGAGCAGGCCAATGGCACTTTAAATGGACACGTTGAGAAGCGTTGTATGTTATATGTTTGTTTGACTCACTGTTGCGTGTTGGGGTCGTAGACCTCACAGTTGTTGAGCACTCTGCCAGAGACATTGTTCCCCACCGTTCCTCCACAAACATAAATGAGCCCGTTGGCCTCCACGGATCCATGGCTGCAGCGCGCCATCAGCATACTTGTTTTGATCTGCCATGACTCTGTCCTGGTGTCGTAGCATTCGAAAAGGTCCAGGGCTGAGCTGCCTGTAGGCACATGTTGGTGGTCAGTCAACCGTGAAGAAATTATTATCTATGCTTTAACAAGACATCTTTACTATTTAAATGTTCCTACTTTTTTAGAGAATGTAATAATAGTAGCACAAACCAGCTTACTTTCCCCATCCCATGTCTGCATCTCTTTGGGTAGTTGCACAAGATCCCAGAGTCTCTCATTTTTAAATCTTTTCTCCCCTCACTTCATGCTTACCTACTTCTGATCCCCCAGATGTATAGATCTTTCCCTGGGCAGCGCAGGCAGCCAGACTGTCGCGAGGTGTGGGTGGACCCAGCTTGGAGTACCAGCTGTCCTTCAGGACGTTGTAGCAGTCCATACGCTTGATGGGAAAGAGCTGTGAGCCACCCAAAATGTAAACCACATTGTCCCAGAAGACAGCTGTGGCGTCACGGCGCTTTTCAAAGGGGCAGCGGATGTCGGTCCAGCTAGAGTCCTGTATGGAAAACCATAGTAAACATTCCCAAATATGATTTCAACAGACCTGACTAAACTCAAGTCTCATAGAGTGTTTTGTGAACCAAAGAACGGATTAGGTGTCTGTAAAATTAAAACCTTTAAAAAAAAACAAAACAATCTTATCTTTAGCTTATTAATTATACTGTAATACTCAAGAGCACATATCTGCACTCCCTTTAATTGTTCTTTGGTGTGATTGCCCCTGTGACTATAACTCATTAGCATTTGCAGCCCGGTACCTTCGGGTTAAAGTAGCGGCAGGACTGAGGCTGTGAGCCACCAAACAGAGCAATGCGGTAGTCGTGCTTCTTGCGTCGTGGCCGACTGCTCTCTCCCAGGTCTTCACGGTCTTCCAGGGAGAGCAAGTGGTAACGCATCCCACCTTGGAGAAAAGCACTGGTTATTTTGTTTTGTGTGTGTGCTCAAGTAAAGCGAGCAGCCCTTTGAGGTAATGAAATACCCAATATATGTTATACATCTACCTTTTGCTATCATAATAATGTATGATGTAGATCATTTAGATTAAGATTCAGCACTTCTACGACTCCAGGGCATGCATAGAATTTTTTGCCAGTGTGAACTGCTTGTGCTTTTTTTGTCTATCGACATGAACGAGATAGTTAACTTTGTCTGCTCATTTTGTTCACTTGAAATGTAGAATTTGTACATGCGTGCACGTGTTTTTGACTCTTCCTGCTCACCGATGACCATCTTGAGGCACTGTGGATTGTCCTGGATGAGGGGCTCGGCCTGGACAGTCTTGGAGAGGAATGTTTTGGAAACCAGTGGAAAGCGAACACACCCCAACACCTCCACCATGTACTGCTTTCTGTTACACACATCATACTTCAGCCAGCGCACCGCGGCATCATAAATCTGAGCACAACGCAACAGAAGAACATGTTAACAAATTTTTGGTGACAGACGTCTTCTTTGGCACAAATATATTTAAAGGACGTATACACGCGCGTACCTGGGCCTCAGCACGGACAGTGAGTTTGTCCTGGTGCAGCAGATGTGTGAGCTGCGCAACATCCAGTTGCAGAAATTCATCCAATTTATAGACTTCAGTGAAGTGAATCTGAAAAAAATCATCTGCAGCCACCTTCAGCTCTGGACAGTCCATACAGTCTGCAAGGGCTGAAATGCCTACAGGAGAACAGAACAAGAGTAAGTAAATATCATGTGTAACACAAATGGAAGGTCTGTATTTGTATTTGTGCACTCACCTAGGCAGTTTGTTGCATCAATCTGTCCTTTAAGGAACTCCACACACATCCTCTTCACAGGTTCAATCTGATACTGATTGGCTGCATCCAGCAGTGACTGGACATTACTGCTGTTCACTGAGATTCTGACACACACAGACAAACAAAAAACAAACATGCCTCTCTCAATAAAAATGCTTCTGGTTTTTTTTTTTTATCTGTAATAATTAATTTGGTACACAATTCTTACCTTGCAGTGTAGATAAATTCAATCAGCAGCTCAATAATCTCAGGCTCAGCACTCCTGAGCTCCACCTCGTGGGACATTGACTCCATCATTCTGGCTAGAAGTAAAGAAAATATAACAAACACAAATATAACAAGTGTACTAGCACTACATGACAACATCACTGTCAGTGTGTCAAGATGGGAAGCAGTAATAAATAGATTATGCATAAAAATACATAGTAGTCGTTATAGGGGTGGTCATAAACTTTCAGCTTTTGTGCCATCTTTATTGAGAAACGCACAATCAATGTAATTACTTAAACAGACTAGTCCCTATGTTTGCCTTTATTAGATTAGGAGTGGGCAGATGATACTAAGTAAAATATTCAGTTTTTCTGCAGTGAGGACACAGCCTTTGGGGTGTGGAGATGCAATACATGCTCTCCTGGCATCTACTTTTACATAAAAATTTCTTTCCTTTTGCTCATTCAACTTTTAAAAGCCAAAAACAGGAATCCACTGATTATTTATGCAACATATATCTGCATCTACTACCTTCTAAAATATAATAAGAAATCACACTCTTGCTCCCTCAACATGCCGATATTGGTCTTGGTTTGTGTTTGTCAGACTTACTGGTGAACATGAGGCTAAAGAAGTGGCTGGCAGCAGCAAGCACCACTCGGTGGGCAGGGAAGTGCTTTCCCTGAACCACCAGGGTCACATCACAGAGAGTACCCTGCAAATCACACGCAGTAATCAGGTGTCAGAACAGAAGAAATGCCTAATGTAAAGCCCTCTTAAAGATATTCAGCCTGGTACTTTTGGTTCGTGTTCCCTCTCTCTCTCCCGCACACACACTCACACCTGTTTTCTCAAATTGTTCATGACTCCCATGATGCTGGACAGTTGCCTGTACTCCTCTTTGGTGGCACACTTTCTCTCGCCCTTCTTTTTTGAGCTTGACGCCTTCTCTGGAGAAGCCATCCCCGTCATGTCAGTCTGACTACTTGACGGAAAACGAAGGAAAAAATGAAGGATTTTGGTACCAACGCTAACAGTATGACTACGGCGTACAGCTGTAGTCTCTTTGTTGTCGCTTAGCTACAGGCAGCTTGCCTGCAAACCCCGACAGCAGTTTGTTGTAAAGGCCGACAACTTCACGGCGGCTTCTACATATGGATAAATTAATTTGTCTGCTAGGGGTTAAAAAAACAAAACAAATAAGCACAACGTGTTAGCTTAATTGTTCATTCGTGTAGCTAGAACTCAATTTTTTCTGGTTGTTGTGATGCTCTTCTTCTGCTTCTTCTTTTTCCGTCTTTTTTGCCTTCTTCTGTGGTCTGCACAGAATGTCGTAATGCTGCCCCCTGTAGCCTGGACAAAAATACTGTATTACAACTCTGAGACCAAGAAGAGTTGTGAAATAAGCCCAGCAGTTCGTTTTGGTTTTCATAAACAGCAGGTGTGAATAAAACATAAAAGTTTCTCTATAGCTCTATAGTACAGTTGGGATACAGCTAATTTCACCTGGAGGAATAATATGTCAGTGTCTCCGAGTAACTGTAGAAAAGGCTGTTTCTTACAGTCAGAATAGGTGGGACGAAGCCTATATAGGTTATAATAGGTTGTGGACTAATTATGATATAGGGTTTTTTTAGTCAGGGTGTTTGTCTACTTCACTAGTTATTGCTCTGGTTGGACTTTAGCTGTATATTAACTGTATATTTCTGCGAACTCTGTTATTCATAACAAAACTGTAGTTTTATATCCTATCGGACAGGCATATCAAAGCTGCTTCAGCTTTGCGGCATGCAAAGCGCCGCAAAGCGCATGCGCTGTAATAGCTCACCTGTCGTTGCACCTGTTGAATTCTTATCTGTACAGCAATGTAAAATACAAAACCAGGAAGCTTTTCTTTCCTCGACTCTCATGACGCTGACGTCACGGAGAATGCGGACTACAATTGCCTTGTTAGAAATAAGTGACCTGAAAACAAACTGAGAGGCCACAGAGCCGCAGAAAATGTTCCGTTTATGCTGTTGCTGCTTCTTTGGCGATAACTCCAACAACAATGAGGTATGTGTTTATGCGCTGCACTGGGTTTTATGGTGTCTTTATAAGAGCGTGTTTAGCAAGGAAACTATACAGCTTCGCTTCGCTCGATTTTTCCATTGCAAGTAAAATGATGGGATCCTCCTCTTAACTGCTGTAATGTAGCATTATTGGGTCTTCACCTAATAATCTACTTTTGTTGGGGATTTGAAACATAATTATTATAATATTGAAGCTGAGTTTATGATCACATCATTGCACTGGTACACATGATCAAATATGCCTAATATTTGTGGCACAAGAAGAAGAAAAGAAAAAACACTATGTAAATAAAACCAACTTTCGCTGTTTCAGAGACGGCCTCTCCTGGATCCCCGACGCTCTGAAGTCAATAGTGCTGAATCCGCCAGGCTGAGCCGTTCATCAGCGCACAGCGGCAAGTCATCTCAGTCTTTTTTTAATACTTATAAAAATGACAGATAAATTTGATCCACCTGTTTTTCTTGCTGTCTTACTACTACCTTTCTTTCTTTCTTTCTTTCTTTCTTTTTCTACTCAGATGCACAGACTGTGAGACGGATTGGACGGCTGGTGATGAGGCGAGTGTGCGTGCCAGAGCTGGATCAGAGGTTTTTGGAGATGGCTGAGACCTTCAACAAGCAGCAGGAAGGCTACGAGGCCATGGTGCAGCATATAAGAAACCTCCAGCAGAGCTGTGACTGTTCCCATGATGACACCCTCGCTTTTGTTCAGTGTTTGGGGAAGATTAGAGAGGAGCAGGGTGAGTGACACATACTTTTTAACACACGCTACATGGTAGCTCATGCCTCACTCCCTCCCCCATTTTTTAAAAAACTCATGTACTTCCAGAACCAACATACCAGGTCTCTCTTAAGATGAAGGGCTACGACTTCTTCCTCAGTGCGGTTCCTGTGTGGTCTGAGGGCGCAGGTGAGGGGAAACCGCTTCCTCCACGTCTGCAGAGGGCTCAGAACGAACTGAAGGGTGCTTCTGACAGCACCAGGATGACCATTTCAAAGGGGACCACCCTTCAAGAGCTTATTGGCTGGTTGCTCCGTAGCCATGATAAAATGGCTGAGCAAGTGAAGAAGACAGCAGAAACTTACCAAGAACAAGGGAGACTTAGTGAGAACCTGGAGGAGAACATGAGGGAAGTGAGGAGGGCCAAAGAGTTGTCTCAAGGATACAGACAACAGGCCACGGCAGTTCTCACTGAGGCTGCACAGATAGCAGGGGCTCAACTGTAGTGCACATACCTTTCTAAAAGTTTTGTTTTAACCGACAACAATGCAGAAGTACAGCATTTCCATGGGTTATCTCCATAAATATCCCCACCAATTGTATCAAGACTGTCATATCTCCTTTTATTATTTGATTATAATAGAAATGTATTCTAACACTTTAAATAGGTTTAAAGTGTTTTTTTTTTATTTTATTTTGCGTCATTACATTCTGTCATATGTATTGTTAGAGTGGTAGATGCTCATACTTAACCTGGCTTAAGGTTCTAATAATGAACTCTGGATGTGTGTAACTGTGTAAAAGCCAAAAGCTCAAGCTTCAAACTGTGTTAAATATTCCATTTTAGAATTTTTTTTTCTTCTAGATTTAGCTTTGATGATGTTCTTCAATGTAAATTGTGAAGACTTTTAATATATCTGTGTATCTACAGTGCATAATGCCATCAAAGGTTTCAGAGAATCTGGACAAATCTCTGTGCACAAGAGACAACGCTGAAAATCTGAATGCACGGGATTAAACGTACAGTCCTGTCATGGAAATCACTACATGGGCTCATGAAACACTTCTAGAAATTATTGTCTGTAAACATGCGTTGCCATGTCATTCACAAATTTAAGTTAAAGGTGTATCATGCGAAGAAGAAGCCATATGTGAACATGATCAAAAAACCCTGCTGTCTTCCCTGAGGCACTTAACCTGGACTGAGGCAATGTGGTCAGACAAATCAAATCAAAAACAGGGAAGCTCCATCCTCTGGACTAAAGAGACAATTGTTACCAGTGCTCAGTTCAAAAGTCTGCATCTCTGGTGGTATGAGGATGTATGAGTGCCTGTGGAATTGACAACTTGTGTAGTTGAAAATCAGCACAGTGGGTCCCATTCTTTCCCGAATACATGTAATTTCACTAGCCAACATTAGGGGGCAATGCCGCTTCACTTTTATCTAACAACCGCTCATCGTTACATACTCATCAGGCTTTTAGAAATAGCACCGCAATGACAAAGCTTGTCTGAACTCCAGAATTAAATTTATAAACGTGCCACTACTTTGTGTGTGTGTGACTTTTACCAGAATAGGTTCACTGATTTCTGCGAAGCTTTCCCACAACTCTGCCTGGACTCTGCTTTAACAGATTGCAAACTTCATGCCTGGTATGTTTCCCAGACATGACAGAGCTGAGATGATATGACATGAAAGCTCACTGCAACAGCAGCTGAAAACTAAACTGGGGGTTTGTCGTGATTGTGCGTGGGATGTTTTACTGTTTCAATATACAGACTTCTATTAACTGATTAAAAACCGCAGCTTTCCCACTGTTATTAACCTAAAAGCCCACCAACACATGGTCATATGCCATGTTGATAATTCATTTCCAAAAATCCATTGTTCTAAAGGCTATTGTCACATGGTATTGTTTACCAGAGAGGGACAGTTTTGGAGCAGTGTTTCTGTCTTTGGCTTTGGATTAATTAGGTGTAAAGTTTGATGTAAAAGAGAAGCAACACCAACACTTCCTTTTTTATGAAAATAATCGGCAAATAAAAAGAACGAGGATCAAATAGAGGAAAATCTTGAATATAGGCCGTGGACCCAATTTTAGTGAAATATGGTAACTGGATATTTTTATAGTTTACTCATTAACATTCGTATTTTTAGTAAATAATCTAAATCGATCATTAATATCCTGCAAACTGTACGTTTCTTATACATACAAATGTTCATTAATAGCAGATTTGACAAATCACTTGGCTGTTAGAGAGCGGTGACTGACTGGGACAACCTACCGTGATCGTGGAAATTATTAACTTGCGGTCCTCGTGTCTAATTTGATTGGATGGTTTAGTTGGGGGTGCGGCAATTTGATTATATACTTCTCTCTTATTGGCTGAGAAGCCTGGCATTCAGTGTAGAGCGCGTCCTCTTCTCTAAAAGGTTGTCTGAGTGGAGAAAGTAATGAAGATGGAAGGAGGTGATGTTGTTGAATTATTGAGGAGATTTATGGAGTAGCAAAGTGATAGCCGTTTACTCGTCCTAGCGGAACGACGGAGGACGGTGATAGCAGGAAGCTGACAGATAGCATGCCAGTAAGTAAACAGCAACTTCCTCAGTTTGCCTAGAGTCGCCCCTTAGCTGATCCAGCTAACTAGCTAATCTGTAAGCAACCGTAGTGACAGCTCGAAGTCATTCAGCAAGGCGATATAGAGAGAGTGTGACGGCTCGGGATTAATTTTAGGTCTCTGGCTCATACGGGCTAAGAAAAATGCCTCAAAGTGAACGGCGGGAAAAAGCTAATGTAATTTTTCCATTGAGCTAACAGTTCACCGGGACAGAAATTCTCGGGTTTTTTTTTGGCTTTTTTTAAATTTATTTTTAAACAGAAGGTGTATAACCAGTGTTGAGGGTGTGAGACTAGCTGGATAGCAGCGCCCAGGAACAGGTAGGATCCTACTTAAATCAACTAAATAATTTGATATGACATAGCAGGCGGGGGGGCTTTCCAACTTATCATAGTAACGACATATTCTTTGCTACCATTTTGCTTCTGTCCCATCAGTCGTGGAGGCAGACTTTGTACCTGTCTTTATCCTGTTTGGTAACAGCTGTGTGCAGGTGTGTGCACTTGTTATTCCTCAGGTGATTTGTGTTCGTGACAGGGGAAGAGAAACCACCACAGACGGGCATATTGGATAATGCGTTGTTGGGATTTTTCTAATAGCTGTCATGTGATGCAGCTTTTCTCCACACCACTCATCCTGTTCTGGGGCTTCCTGTATAGGGGGGCTGGTGTGAAGCCACAGAGCCTTGCGAGTACGTGCTCTCAGAAGTTTAAAGCTGCTTGTTTTACTTCTCTGTGACATTCGCAAAAAAAAAGGCTTCTGCTGTTGTGGCAGTTTTTGTTTTAGTGTTTAATTCATTGTTGTCATTTGCTTACCATATATGTGTGTTTGTGTGTTTACCTTTGACCTTAGGTGGAGGCTGTGCCTAGGGTTTGTTGGTTGGGTGCCCTGTCAGTGTAATGTCAATTTGGTGGGTCTC